ACGGATCTTCACAATATCAAATTTACTTGAGGGCTCCTTCCATTTGCTAGTATGTCCCTTAATTTCTTTCTTTAATGCACTATATTTTTTTATTGAAGAGTTTTTCAACTTCTTCGTTTGGTTTATTTCTAAATATTGAACTCTTTGGTACGCTTGTGAATGAGATTCGTTTTCTGATTCCTTTCTCAGTTGTTCATTGTTGGCATATAGAAAAACTGCTGATTTTTTTAGACATTTATTTTTTATTCTTAGAAACAAATTCTACTACTTACTTGATAAATGGTGTTTATCAAGATCAAAGAGTATTTTATTTTTAGTGGGGTTCAAGGTCTTTTAAATGTAGATTCACATCATCTGTGAATAAGGATCATTTCTGCCTTTCCCTTGGGTATTTGGTCTGCCTCCTTGCTCTGTCCCCGGCTTTCCCTCCCCCCCCCCCTGCCGCCCCGTAGTGGGTAGAGGCCACAGCTCTTCTTCCTGAGGGAAAGAAGCTCCCCTCACCTAGAAACCAGGCCAGGACCAGAGCAGAAGCGGCAATGTCAAAAGAGGATGCTTGTTCAGGAGCTCTGGATACCCTGTCTCATTCTTCACTCAAGATGCAATGGTTTCCACTTTCCCCCATTGACCATGGTGTGTTTGAGCTCAGGGCCTCATGCCAGCTAGGCAAGTGACCTACCCCTGAACCAAACCCCCAGCCCCTTCATGCGTAGATAACTACAAGAAGATATGATTCAACTTTCAATGGGAAGGAAGATTTGGCATGTGGTAGTTTGTTGAACCTGGAAGACATTATGTTAAGTGAAACAAGCCAGTCCCAAGAGGACTTTTGTTTCTTTTACTACAAAAAAGAGAACTTCTTTTAACCAGGTGCTGGTGGTTCCTGCCTATAATCTTACTCAGGAGGCTGAGGTCTCTGGATCACTGTTTGAAGCCAACCCAGGCAAGAAAGTCCTTGGGACTCACATCTCTAATTAGCCAGCAAAATGCCAAAAGTGGAGCTGTGGCTCAAGTGGTAGAACAAGCCTTGAGCAAAAATAAACTCAGGGACAGTATCCAGGTCCCGAGTTCAAGCCTCAGGACCAACACACACACACACACACACAATCTCAAAATTATGCTGAACATAAATACCAAGTTACATTTCCATCTTTTCCTTTAGATTCTTCTGCATATCTGAGCCTCCCTAAAATTTCAACATCTCTCTCTTATCATAAACCAAAGATGTGATGAGCTTTTACTTAGTCTCAAGAAAAATAATTCTCACACTTTGAATCATTTATTCTATAGTAACAGTAACTTTTTCTATAGTAACAGCCACCACTAACAGAGGGCTCAAACCCAGGGCCTCATGTATGCGAGGCAAGCACTCTACCACTGAGCCACCTTCCCTGCCCAGGACATTAGAATGTAAAGAGAAGTAGAGCATCCTGACTTGATGGGTCCAGGCCAGACAACTACGTTACATTATTCTGTGTAGTTCCCACCTATGGCCACCAGATGGCAGAGACACTCAGTGTAGAAGAGCCAGAGGCCTGACTCCCTAGGCCTGGCTGCCGGTGGGTTTCCTCCTAGGCTTGAAGATTCAGTGGAAGGATTTTTAAACAGGTGTTCTCGGGGTGGGGGAGGGGGGAGGGGTGGAAGGGTGGATGGAGGGGTGACCAGTGGTTCAGACAGATGTATCATTATTAAATAGAGGAGCTAAACTTACAACCTACCATCTTATAACACCAGATTTTCTCAACCTAGCCACAGGGTTGAAGCATAGCATCTCTGCCTACTTTAAATCTCAATGTATATCACTTTTTTATAGTCATACTTTCCTGGACTCTACACTGATTTCTTCTCATTTTCTGACCACTATATTTAATGCACAACCCACTCTGTATATATTAGCTCCATAGCTGTGAACTGGAAAGATTACAATAAATTGTTCTGCACATGTACAACTGACTCTTTCTCTTTGTCATGATTCCTTAAACAGCACCACAACAAACTAGTTAGGATGAGCGAGCTAGAGGATGATTTTAAACGTGTGGAAGATATGCAGAGGTTGTATGAAAATATCATGGTGTATTATTCTGTACAGGACTTGAGCAGTCTTGGATTTAGGGACGTTCAAGCCTCCATAACTATTAAGAGACAGTTGCATGTTCTTCTGAAAGCTCTCCCTTGGTCTTTTCTTTCTCTTTTCACATTGGCCTACTTTAAAAAAATATATAAATATATACTAGGTATCTGCATCTGTCTGCTGCGAAGAGATCCTAGTAAATCTTTACACCTCAGTGCCACTGGAGGCGTTGAAGTCTAACGAGCTGGCTTCTGTGGCTTGGCCTTACTTTCAACCATCTTTTCCCCATAAATCAACTCTGTTTAGTATCTTTCTCAGGCTCTCTCCAGTGGAGAGGCAGAGCCAAGCCTCTTCTATTTCATCTCTAAAACCTTCAGGCTCCTGTGACCAGATTTTGGTCCTCTTTTCTGGTCTTCTCATTCCTTAATTAGCTTTTATTCAGTTTGAAGGCACTTTGGAGCCTAGATTTGCTGATGAATCTCCAATTTCTGTCTCACCAGATCTGTCTCCTGAACTTCAATATTTGTATCTTGTATTTCACTTTACCGATTGTCAATGGGCTGTCTAATCAACATCTCAAACTTGCTATGTCCAAAGAGAAGACAACGCTGAGCGCCGGTGGCTCACACCTGTCATCCTAGCTACTCAGGAGGCTGAGACCTGAGGACCATGGTTCAAAGCCAGCCCAAGCAAAAAAGTCCACGAGACTCTTATCTCCAATAAACAACTCAGAAAAAGTCAGGAGTGGCGCAATGGCTCAAGTGGTAGAGCACTGGCCTTGAGCAAAAGAAGCTCAGGGACAGCACCCAGCCCCTGAGTTCAAACCCTAGGACCAGCACTGAGAGAGAGAGAGAACAGACAGAGAGACAGAGACAGAGACAGAGACAGAGAGAGACAGAGAGAGACAGAGGGACAGAGAGAGAGAGGAAAGAGGGACAGAGACAGAGGCAGAGATGAAGAAAGAAGGAGGGAGGGAGGGAGGGAGGGAGGGAGGGAGGGAAGGGGAAGGACAGAGAGAGACAGAGAAGAAGCCTGCCTTGCACGTAGTGGATGACTTACTCTTCCTCTTCTCTTGGGTCTCTGCTCAGCTCATCCAATCTAAAACAGCACACACATTTTCCACTCGATTGTCATACTATTTGCGTTCAAGAATTAGGTCTGTATTGTTTGTTGTTTCATCCTTGTACTATATTAAGACCACTGCCAACTACCTGGTGCCTGCAGGGCTTCTGTCCACACTAGGTGCAGGAGTATTTCATGTTCTCAGGTGCTAAGTACTGTCACTTTCCTAATACAAGTCATTGCTTTCTTGTCTGGCTTGCTGGAAAGCTACAATCCCCCCTGTGTCTCCCGTTCCACTGATTTCCTAAACCAAAGGCAACTGCCCAAAACACATATCTGGGGGCTGGGAAGGTGGCTCCATGGTAGAGTGCTTGCCTCGCATGCATGAGGCCCTGAGTTCAATTCCTCAGAGCCACCTAAGCAGAAAAAGCCAGAAGTGGTGCTGTGGCTCAGGTGGTAGAGCGCTAGCCTTGAGCTGAAGAGCTGAGAGACAGTGCCCAGATCCAGAGTTCAAGCCCCACGACCAACAAAACAAAACAACAAAACTCCCCACATATCTGTATTTTCACGAACCTTCCAGGACATTCTGTGTTGTTCTTGACCCTTGATCTCAAGAAACAGAAACCCAGTTTCTGCAGGCAGAAGGTGAATCTGAGAGTCCAAGAATCTAAGAATGGGTTGGATAAGTAAAGAACAGGATGAGCTGGGACGCAGGCGGACTTCAGGACCAAATGGAAGCCGGTGTGCAAAGGCTGAGGTTCTCTATCCGTGATGCTTTCCTCGGCTACCAACTGCATTCTCTCTGATCAGCCTGACGTCTTCGCACAGGTGGGATCTAGGCGGCAGATCACAGGATCTAGGTCTTCATCCTCGCATGCGGAAGACTGCTGATTCTCCCATCTATTGGCTGAAGCTTTGTTGAAAACTTCCAGGAACAGCTCCAATTGGCCTGTCCTGAGTCATACACCCGAATCCAGAAACAAGCACCAATGCTCGGGGAGAAGAAGAGGAGACACATGTCTTCTATGCAAGTCCTTTGGCTACAGTGGGGCGGAGGCTTGGTTCCCAGAGAAGTGTGATGTTATCCCTCAGCAAAGAGTGAGGAGGTGCGAGACAGCGGGAGTTACCCAGCTCTCACGTGAAGCCAGATTTCCTGGCAGCTTAAGACGCAGCTTCCCCGACCCCAGCGGCTCCCTCATCCCAGCACGGGCCTTGGGCTTTGTCTACATATCCCATCTGGTGGGCTTCTTGTGCCTTCCAGGTCCTGGAACAGATGAGCACTCTGCTTAGAGTCTATTTTCGCCTGGCTCTCAGAAACAGAACCAGTAACATGTGTACAGATGTCCTTCCATCGATCATGGCCCCAATGAACCTGGAAAACATCCAAAGTCCATAGGCACAAAAACCCATCAAACATCACAGCAAGCTCTCCAATCTTATCCGCACCTACTATAATCGTATCAGCCTAAGGTGAGGCCAAATTGACAATCGCAAAGCCTGTTTTGGGCAAGTGTGGAATATCTCCTGTATCCCATTGAATACTGTACTGAAAGTGAAAAAATAGAAGAGTTGTTGTATAGCTACACTTTGACACCTTTGCAAAGCTGAAAGTTTCTAAGTTGAGCGCTCACAAGTCAGGGACCATCTGTGTATGCAGAGAGAGAGAGGGAGAGAGAGAGAGATTTTAGGAGGTTGGCTTGTAGTAGTTTCAGCATCAAGAGAAGAGTGGCAGTTTGGGTCTGAAGGCATCAAGAGATTGGATTAGGTGCCCTCATATTATGGTACTAATCTGCTTTATTCAAAGTCTACTGATTTACATGTTAATTTTGTAAGGTGACACATTAGTAAGAGTTCTTAAACATTATAAATAGTGCTCGCTTTGGCAGCACATATACTAAAACTGGAACGTTACAGAGATTAGCTTAGCCCCTGTGCAAAGAAGCAATGCACATTTGTGAAGCATCCCATATTTTTCCACACCTTAGACCAAAAGAGCTGCAATGTCCTTTCTCACCAGACCTTCCAGACCACAGACCCTGTGGTCCTCAGCCCTCAGGATCGTGTACAGGATATTTTGGAGTCCAAGGTCTGGATTGGAAGGCCCAGTCTGGGTGGGAAGTCTGTTGGTGGGCATCATGACTGTGTTTTGGAAGAGGAACGACTTCGTGGTGGCTCCCACACTGAAGGAGGTAAATGAAATTCTGCAGCGTTGCCCATTGTGGATGAAGAGGATGGGCTGGTAGCCATCATTGCTCCCACACACCTGAAGAAGAATCTTCTTCAGGAGGAGGCCCAGTGGCCTCCAACGATGCCAAGAAGCAGCTGCTGTGAGGTGTGGTCCTTCCTGAGCCATGGCGCCACTTCCAGCTTTTGGCTTGTTAATTGGAGACAGGAGTTTCATGGACTTTCCTGCCAAGGTTGGCTTTGAAGTGGGATCCTCTGAGAAGCTAGGATTCCAGGAGCCAGCCACCAGCACCTCGCTTAAATATAAGCACTAATCTTGTCTAAGAAAATATCATCATAGAAAAACAAACAAATTTTGTTGGAGTAGGTATCTGGTCCAATATCTAGCCAAGTTGACATATAAAATTAACCATGGCAGAATCCTTTCTATCCAAATTTCCACCACTTCAGGTGAATCGCTGTCTTCTGGATGTTGACTTCTACCCCCACTTCCTTTGAACGCCTCTCGTGATCTACACTGAGGTAGGTAGCTCCCTTCAAACCCTATATATCACCCCACGCTGACTCATCACCCAAATGCCAGCACAAATGTCAGCTTCTGTCACCTGCCCACACCACAAGCTTTACCTCCACAGCACCTGACACACAAGACTTATTCAATAAACATTGAATTAATGAATTCTGTGCTCTACCATCTTCTACCTTCATTGCCTACCCTTCTCTCTCCCTTCCTTCTCCACAAACAGAGCTATAAGTCAAGCTGACTAATACATTCTGTGAAATTTACTACGTACTGGGTTTTTAAATGATTATGCAACTAATTCAATAGCATATTCTTTTTCTTTTAATTTTTTTTTTGTTGGTTGTGGGACTTGAACTCTGGGCTTGGGCGCTGTCCCTCAGTTCTTCAGCTCAAGGCGAGCACTCTACCACTTGAGCCACAGCACCACTTCCAGTTTGCTGGTGGTTTATTGGAGATAAGGGTCTCACAAGTGTTCCTGTCCATGCTTGGCTTTGAACCTTGATCCTCAGATCTCAGCCTCCGGAGTAGCTAGGATGACAGGCAAGAGCCACTGGCGCCCAGCTCACTAGCATATTCTTATGGGTTGCAATTTGATTTGTCCCCCAAAGATGTTGTGCTGGAGGTTGGGTCCAGGAAGCAATGAAAGAAAGTTGGTCAGAATGATGGTGAGGTGGGGCTTCATGGGAAATAATTACAAACCGAGTAACATTCTAGTCTTCCGAGTTCTTCTTCAGTATTACCTAATGGAAGTATTTCTTCCTTTCAGATCCATCTATAAATCAGAAGATTGGCATACTTCTGAAACTTAGTGGCTTGACCCCAAACGGACTAAGACACATATGCATGTAATGGCACTAAGTGTAATACCTCATCAACATGAGTAATTAGTTAGAACAGGAAGCTACCAGGTAGAAAATGTTCTCAGTAATACCCACATGGGAGCTGAGACATGAATTACCAAGTGTAAGGTGTGTTTCTAGCTCCATTGTACCTAGTACTTATTCCCCCCACCCCACCGGCCCATCCTGGGGGTTGAACTCTGGGCCTGGGTGCTGACCCTGAGCTTTTTGTACTCAAGGTTAGTCCTCTACTACTTGAGACACCACTCCACTTCTGGCCTTTAGTGGCTAATTAGAGATAAGAGTCTCACGGACTTTTCCGACCAGGTTGGCTTTGAACCATCATCCTCAGATCTCAGTCTCCTGAGTAGGTAGGAGTATAGGCATGAGCCGCCGGCACCTGGCTGTACCTCATAATTTTGAATGGCAATATGTTTATTTTGTATGTGTGGGATGGGAAGGAGAACATATCCTCACAGCAGGAAATTGTGGGTAGAATATGAACCTACCTTTCCGTCTTTGGAAAGGAGCCAGTCATCAAAAGCCTTCGCATGTCTTTGCATCTGATCATTCACCACTCTGCTTCCATCCATTTCTTTGCTCTTGCATTTCCTTCAACCAGCCAAGTCTCATTTGCCAGAGGCCTGAAGCATGTACTAATGAGATAGGCTAGCAGCTCTCCAGATGTTCAGCTGCTCTGCCACCACAAGAATATCACAAAGGATGACTTTGTGAGGGCCACATGGCACGAACTCATTCAGATCTACTCTGCCATGCATCAAATTGGTTCTGTGCAGGTACAGTACAGCCTTGGTGATCTCAGTTATAAAAAGCACATTGTTTGGAATTTCAGGAAATCCTTGATAATTGTCAATAGGGAAAATTTAATATGTCTGTTTTGTTGCCTCTCTTCTGTTCCTGACACATTCTCCCGATTCTCCAGTGCATCTCCCTGACAAAGGCATGGGCTGCAGAGATTTCTATTTCAATTGCAGATAAAGTGTCACACCAAGTCAGCTCCCCTAGTAATCAGAGGATCAAGGTAGATCGTTGCTTCCTTCAAGTCTGATGTCACAAATGCATCGCGTAGGGGATAACCTGGTACCACTTTGTCTCTGGCTGGGAAGAATCTGAAAAGAATAAATATGTTTAGCTGAGAAATCCTGAATGGGCAGGTGGTTGAGAGGGAGGTGTCAATGGTAAAGATTCAGGGGCAGGTCTGTGGGTTTGGAGGGAAGATATGACGGGGACATCCCGAGAAAGACAGGAAAGACCACATGAGACAGACGGCCTCTTCGGGAATCACATCCTTTGTGGAACTGTCCACCTAGCAGGAGGGAAATGCCGCCTCTTCCACGGCATGGCCCCATGCGCTCCTTTCTCATGGTCACTGTGACAAATGACCACTTTCAAATACACAGCCAGTCTAGGCATAAGAAGTCTAAAATGTGTCAGCCGAACGACATTGAGATGCTCCTCGCTTTTCCCAGCTTCTCCACGTGGTCCAGATTCCTTGGTTTGTGACCCGCCGCTTTGTCCCTCTTCAAAGCCATTGGTGGGTGAAGCATCTGCAAAACTTGCTTCCACATCACACCACCCATCCCCCTCCCTCTTGAGTGATCTTCCTGGTCACATTAGGTACCGGGGTTATCTGCTGATCTCATCATCCTTAATCTAAACCCATCTGCATAGCCTCTTTTGCCAAAGAAGGAAATAAACTCACAGATCCCAGACATCAGAATAAGGACATATTTAGGGACTCCAGTTTACCATACCCAAAGCTAGTTTTGTTTGTTTTCCATGGTGACTTTAGGGTGGTTGTGGCATGCAAGTCAATGGCTTCCACAAGAGTTACCTGCTTGCATTTCTTCTGTATGTTTCTTGGACTGTTCAGAGCTCTGGGTGCATGACTAGTCAAATCATAGGCCTAACTCTTGCTCACCACCAAGTCTTGCTTTTAATGTAAGAAAACAACAGCAAGGAGGAAAAAAGAAGTTCGATTTCCATGAAGTTTAGTGATCTGAATAGCTGTTTACCAGTGTGAATGATTCAAAAGTGACAGAATAGGAGCACCTTGATTTAAATATAAGGATGAAGAGTTATTTTGGGTGTAGGCTCTGAAAGATGATCTGAGAAATATAGTGGAAATGAGTGTGGAAGCAAAAGGCTAGTTGTCTTGTTTTTTCTTCTTCAAAGTTTATAAGGAAACATGTTGAAGACTCAGTGTACGAGATGTCTCAAGGAAAAAGATAATGTAAGCTGGTTTTATTGACATTATTTACCATTTGGCTCCTTTAAACTCTTCCAAATATAGAGAAATCACAACTTCATTTGAAAATTCAATAACCTTCAACTTTACACCATAAAGAACTGAATGGCCATAATAGAATCTGGCATCTCAAAAATATGAGATGTAGCTTAAACTATATCCATATTGCTTTTCAATTCTTTAGTGATTCTTTTTTAACTTTATTTTGTGTGTGTGTGTGTGTGTGTGTGTGTGTGTGTATTCTTTGAGTAGTTGTACAAAAGAGTTGCCATTTAACAAAGTAATTTATGAATACAATACAACCTTTCAACCTTCGCACTCTTTATGGTTGGGAATCTATTTCTCCTGTTTCACTAGGTGTACTGAATCCACCAACATTACAAAAAATGCTTGGACATGGTTAAGATGTAGAAATCCAGAATGTGCAGAATGCCCAATACAAATGGAAGAAACGAGTGCCAGGCCTCTCTCCTGTCTCAACTTTTTGCCATGTTCATAGTTCTTTCAGGCCTTGTTAGCTGATGCATGATGAATCCTTCCTTCCCCCTCCCCCTCCACATCTGTTAAATTAGTTTCTCTCACACTGTGTATCAACCCCAGGGGAAGGGACGCAAGGCAGTTTGATTTGGAAATCAAATGAATACTCTCAGGTCACGGGATATCTTGTGATAGAATTCACTTATAATTGTATTTTGGAATGCAGAAATACTGAGGGAAGTCAACTGCGTAGAGATGGCGCACACCATTTAATGTGTAGAACCAGTGATGGACATTTTCATTTCTTGAAATCATCGGCAGCAGAAGGGAAAGGAGGCAGGAGGAGGAGAGGGCGAGATGGCACCGAACGGGAGGTTTCTGTATTAAGTTGTAAGTAGTGGGAGAGGAGGTGAATGTTTTGAATTCCAAAGTCCGTTTCTGACCTCAAACCAGAGGCCGTGCAAAGGTCGAAGGTTGCCAAAAGGTCCAAAGGTTGTGACAAGTTCTAATGGACAGGAGCTGCCATTTTGTGAAGACGGTGGCAGTTTGTTTAGTCTGATGATGAGTCCAGCCAGGTAGAAACGAGTCTCTTCTTCAGAAATTACATAAAGGAAAACGGCAGCAGTGGGTGGAGAAAAGTACCTGCTTCTTTAATTGTAACTTGAAGCATTCTGATATACTCTCTGTACAGCCTTTAGTTGTATACCATTGAATGCCACCTGAAGGGGAAAAAATAAAAGAGATAGAGCAAATTAAAAAAATTTCTAGGAAGTATAATGTTGTTACCTGGTCTCAGACATGTCGTATCTCTAACAGGTTAAAAGAAACAAAACACAAGAATGCTAAAAACGATAAAAGAAAGCAAAGACTTCAGGTTTACCAAGATACAAATGTAGCGTTTCTACCACCGATGGCTCAGAGAGCTCCTGTTTAAGCTATTTCAGTTGAGTACTTGGCAATACACAGACTTTGACAGTGTCAAACCAAATCGCTTTCCAGCTCTGATGATAAGAACCACGTGATGGCCAGTAACTATACAGAAATTTCGGATGTGTTAACTCTTTAGAAGCTTGCTGATAATCACCCTCAAGGTGTAGCCCACCATCACGAGTGATTCAAAGGACCGAGTACATATGTATGTGTGTCTCCAAAGATGGCCGCTCACCCAGAATTCCACTTATTTTTACTCCTGTTTACAGACACAGTGCGTAGTCACTGTAGGAAATGTGAGTAACCCCCCAGAATCACAAAGTGACAATAACTTCCCCAAGACCCTACCACCCTGAGCTTTAATTATTTGAGTGGCCACATCGGTGATTGTCGCCAATGACAAACCAGCGGTTTCTGAGGCTGGTTGTGGTGGTAGACACCTGTGACCCTAGTACTCAGGAGGCAGAGGCAGGAGGATGGAGAGTTCAAATCCAGCCTGAGCTATAGAGAAGCCCTCTCTCTACTAACAAGAAAGTAAAAAAAACCAGGCAGATAAACAAAACATGTGATTTCAGAGTGGTAGATGTTTGTATAACCATCAGAGCCAATTTTTTAAAGCTGATCAGTATAATTTAATTACATTACTCATGAGGAAAACTATAGTTAAATGTAGCAGAGCCATTTTTGTTACCATAACTAAATAGGACAGTAGATGAGGCAGAAGGTGCTCTTAGCACTTAGAAGGCGGAGGCCACAGAGGCGCCTATGCATCTTACAAATGTAGCAAACTTAATGTTTGTCATCTTTCTTGTTACTGTGACAGAATCCCTGAGAAAATCCATTTGTTTTGGCTCACAGTCTCAAGAGGTTTTAGCTCCTGGTTGTTGTTCTGTGGGGTTACAGAACAATCATGGGGGCAAAATGTGGCAGAAAAAGCCACTCCCCTTGAGATGTGAACTATGATTGACTTCCTCTCCCCCAGCTGACTTCAATGGCCTCTAATTTTTGTTCTTTCCATTGAATGGAGAAGAGTTTTGGTTTGTTGAGTTGTGTTCATTGTATATAGTATGGATTGTTTTACAATTGGACTTTCCCCTTCTCTACCATGTTTTAGATATTTTTTTTTTCAGGTTTGCAAATAGATCTAGTTTGTTCGAAGTATCACACAACCCTCCATAGCTTGACTATAACATAGTTTGTTCACTGTAGGTGATCAGTAAGACTATTTGCATGGCTTTTTACTGCTAAATATGGGGCTACTACAATAACCTTGATACATGCCCTTTCTCTGCAGCAGACACCAAGAAAAAGAATAATTTTAAAGATTGATGTACTAACTTGAACTTTTAATGGAAGTTTACCAATTGCCTAAAAAAATGTTCAAACCAATATAAATTATCATTGGAAATGCATAAGAATTTCCACTCCCCACATGATCATTAATCTCATATAATAAGACTCATATTTTTTTAAACAAGTCACATTGATTAGAAATTTTATATTATTAAATGGGCACCTGAGACTCCGAACTGCAATGCTAGCTATGCGGGAGGCTAAGATCTGAGACTCATGGTTAGAAGCCAGATCAGGCAGGAAAGTCTGTGAGATTGTTATCTCCATACACACACACACACACACACACACACACACACACACACACACACACACAAAACCAGAAGTGGAGCAGTGGTTCAAGTGGTAGAATGGGAGCCTTGAGCAAAAAGACTCAGGAACAGCTCCCAGGCCCCGAGTTCAAGCCCCGGGACTGCTATACACAGAAAAGTCCTATTTATGATTGTAATTTGTACCACCTTCATTTTTACTGACATCCAACAGCTTTGTGTTTAGATTTATTTATATAAAGGACACTAGCCTTGAGCATTAAAGCTTGGGGACAGCGTCCAGCAGCTCAAGTACCAGGACTGGCATTAAATTTTTTTTCAAAGAAAAACCTCTTGTTTCCATATCTTGGAGTTCATTTCTCTTAGCATCATCTTTTTAAACATTTTTATTTATTTTTTGTGTTTATGTGATGCCAAGGAATCGAACCCAGAACTTCATGCATGCTAGATAAGCACTCTACCACTAAGCTACAGTCTTTGTACCGCTTAGCATCATCTTATATGGTCATATGTACATAGCTATTGAGCTATTGTGATCCTCTTCAAGGACTATCCTACACATATACTAATTATTTAAATTATTATGAGGGAAACCATACAGTCTGTTTACAGTCTGGCTTACTTGAGGTTTTTTTTTGTTTGTTTCTAATGTATTATGTGAATTAATTTTTTTCTTGCATTTTTTCTTTTATAACTCCTATAGTTTACCCCTTGTCACTGTATTTGATTTCGGTGTATTGTATATATGTTTATCTCAATTAGGGAAGGGAAATAAAATGGTGAGACAAAGGCAAAGGGCAAACAGCGACACAATATGTTAGAAATGGACTTTACAACTTGGGGGTCCAATGCGGGGAAGCATAGTGGGAGGAAAATGAGGGCGGGGGTAATAATATGTGACAGGAAATGTACTTACTACCTTACATATGTACCTGTAACCCCTCTCTACACCTTGACAATAAAATTAAAATTTAAGAATAAGAAAGAATTGCCCTCAAATTTCCTTTGACAAGTTTCCCCAGATAGCTGGGGTTAAAATAATTGATTTATAGAAGTTTTTAATATTTTTATATATTTTTTCCTGTTATCTTTGTTTCCATGATTTCTACCAAGTTTATTCTTTATTGTTCGCATTTCAGGTCATTATTTATTTTCAAAATTGGAAAACATTGATATGTGTTCATAGTAATCATTTACTTGATGAATTTTACATTTGAGATGTTAAGAAGGCCTCTTTGTCTTCCATACTTAAAATATACCTTTCAGTGTTTTTTGTTTTTGTTTTTTGTCAGTCCTGGGGCTTGAACTCTGGGCCTAGGCGCTGTCCCTGGGCTCTTCAGCTCAAAGCGAGCATTCTACCACTTGAGCTATATGCCACTTCCAGTTTTCTGGTGGTTAAATGGAGGTAAGTCTCACAGATTTTTTCTTCCTGGGCTGGCTTTGAACCGTGATCCTCAGAACTCATCCTCCTGCATAGCTAGGATTATAGGCGTGAGCCACCAGCACCCGACCCTTTTAGTATTTTCTTCTAATGTTTTTCCCATTTAGAGGATTTGTGCTTAACTCTCACAGTCATGTGAGTGAGGGCAGCTTCTCGGCCCTGCAGGCTGCGTGGCTTCACAGGTCGCCATGTTGGGAAGGGCTTGGCAGATTATGCAATAAATTCTGGGTAGTCATGGGCTCCATACCCAGCATTGGAAAAAAAAAAAAATCGGTGGGAAGGTGGAGACTGTCAGGATCTTTCCAGCTGCTCTCGTGGTGTGATTGACATCATGTAGACCCTGCGAAGCCCTTGTGATGACAAATGGCACATAGTCCATGTCCAGTGAGTGTGTTCTGGTACGAGGACTATGCCAGCACTCGCGTTAAATGTATGTCTTTAAACATCCAGACTTACCTTTAGTGTGCGCTTCCACTTTACAGAACTGACCAGGCTTTGTCCTGCAGGTCCCAAAGTCTAAAAGACATCCGTGGAAGGGGATGGAGAGATTGCATAACCTACAAATCACACCTCCGACATCTCCAGGGGCAGAGGTGGAAAATGAGGGGAGACAGCGATGGAGGCCAGAGAGAAAGAAAAAGAGGCAGAGGCAAGGGGTGAAGAAATAAATAGGTAAATAAATAAATGCACATAAAGCAGTGATTGGAAACAAACAGGTAAATAAACAAATATAAATAAAGCATTGATTTCAGCTTTGAGAAGTAAAAGTGGAAGTGGCTCTGTGGCTCAAGTGGTAGAGCGCTGGCCTTGAGCTGAAGAGCTGAGGGACAGCGCCCAGGCCCAGAGTTCAGGCGCCATGACTGACAATAAGTAAATAAACAAGTAAGTAAATGCGATTTAAACAATTACATTTTTCAATTCACAAAAATTAAAATGATCTCTCCTTTTTTGACATTTACTGATGAAAACTTCCAAACAGCACATGCTGCATTAATATACTGAAAGCACCTTCCATTGAGGGTAATCATAAATGAGGAGGACTTCTCAGCGCTTAATTAAATCAAATCAAAATTATTTCACCAAAGAATTTAATTTGAGCCACATATCTGCTGTTTAGACTTCATTTCTTTGCCTACTGTAGCATAGTCTACATATCATGAATGATTATTACTTGATTTTTTTTTTGTATATTGGTTCTCTTCTATACCCAAATTCAGTGGCTCAAAAATTTATTCACTTGGGTTACATAGAGCTAGTTTAGAGCTTCTTGAACACAAACAACTAAAGAATGGAAAGACATTATTATCTAGAAGATTGGTTCCCAAATTATAATGTGGATTATATTTATTTGAGTGGTTAAAATAAAATCAAGCAGATTCCCAGAGCCCCCACAGACTTGAGTTAGAATCTGTGGGAGATGTGGAGATAGAATCTGTGGGAGTGTGTGTTTTAGACGTGCAGAAATAGCTGAGTGGTTATTATTTGACAAAAGATGTCTGAATCAGTGTTGGAGAACCATTGTGTCTACAAATTCAGTTATCCTTGATAATGACTCCTGGAGACAGCCGTGGCCACTGATGGAAAGCCCCTTGCTACTAAAAATAGCAGGGATTGTTAAAAATAGCACAGATTGTGAAACGATTCCTCTGTAACTGAAACAAAATTTGGCTTAGTTTTCACTGTTTCCATCTTCCAGTGTATAATGGTCAGGTCATTGCTACTCATTGACAACCCTAATTAAAAGTTGACTAGACATGAACTCCAGGGAAAGAAGACAAGAGATATGCTTCAGTTGCCGTGGTTGCTGTCTTGTTTTCTTTCCCTTTTGTCTTGTTTATTTGTTTGTGTTTGGGACACTAGACACTGCGGAAAATGAACTGAATATCTTGTGGGTGAGGATGGGCGGAAAAGAATGGGGGAGAGCAAAGGAAGGGGAGACATGGTTCCAAAAGAATTGTACTCAATACACATTACCTGATTCATGTAACTGTAACCCCTCTTCCTTTGTAAATAACAACAACAAAACAAATAGGCAAGGTACCAGTGGCTCATACCTGTAACCCTAGCTGCTCAGGAGGTTGAGACTTGAGGATCACTGTGTGAAGCCAGCTTGGCTGGGCAGCAAAGTCCACGAGACTCTTGCCTCCAATTAATCACAGCAAAAGCTGAAAGTGGAGCTATGGCTCAAGTGGGAGAGCACTAACCTTGAGCAAAAAGAAGCTCAGGGACAGTGCCCAGGCCCAGAATTCAAGCTCCAGGATCAGCAAACAAAACCAAAACCCAAACCAAAAACAAACAAACAAACAAACCGTCGAGTCTTCCTACGTAGCCCAGATTGGCCTCAAACTCATAATCTTCCTACCATAGCTTCCCAAGGACTAAGAATATAGGAATGTATCACAACCTCTTGTTAGGCTTATCTCATTTATACTATCTGGCCAAGCATAATAGGTATTGAGTCCAGTATTTGGTACAAAAAGCCCACAAGGTACAACACTAGTATTTTGTTTATTCTAGGATGCCTTATTGATTCTCCTGCTGAAGAGTATAGTCTGAAAACCAAGAGTATCAACCAGATTGTTAGAAATGTAAACTCTCAGACTTTGGCCTCTACCTACTGAATCTGACTCTTCATTTTAAGATCCTCCGGTGATTCTTATGTATGTTACATTTGCCACATACTGCTGCGGAGGGCGCCTTCTCTTCCCTCTTTATGCAGAATGTCTGTAATACACTCTATGCTGCTACCTTCTGGGGTCCACAAAGTGCACTTACACCTTGTGAAGAGGGAGAAAGAATCCCGCAAAGGTACTTGAACGCATATTTGGAGACATTTTTCTGGACGTTTACAGAGTGTGAAGCCTCTTAATAGTTCTATAAATTGAAAGTCTCTATTATATCCATACATTTTTTTAATACATAAAGGAGTATTGGAGTTGATGGCGAAGAATACTCAGAACATGAAAAGTACTGGGGAGCTTGGTCCATACTTTTGCTCAAATTAACTTGCTTTGACACACCTAGCCTAGTTTGCTACATGCATGCTAGCTTAGCGGTAATCATCACACAAAACACACTATCTACCCACTCACTTTCTCCTCTATACAATAGGGAAACAATACCTAACCTATGGGGCTGTCACCATGAAGAGTAAATGAGCGAATACAACTGAAATGTGTAGGGCAGAATTTGGAATATGCTAAGTGCTCAATAAATGCTAACTCTGGTTACTGTTAGTTGAAAGCTTATTCTGGTTTTGTTCTAAGTCCACAGGGATTAACAGAGCAGTGTTTCTTTCCTTCTTTCTTTTTGCTTTGTTGGTTGTGGGGCTTGAACTTATGGCCTGGGCTCTGTCCCTGAGCTCTTTTGCTCAAAGCTACCATTCTACCACTTTGAGCCACAGCACTTCTTCGAGTTTTCTGGTGGTTAATTGCAGATAAGAGTCTCACGGACTTTCCTGCCTGGGCTGGCTTTGAACTGTAATCCTTGGATCTCAGCCTCCTGGCTAGCTAAGATTACAGGTGTGAACCACCAAGGCATCTGGCTTAGAGCAGTATTTCCTAAGAGTCAGAAGATGATTAACCCAAAAGTAGGTTTAGGAAAAAAGAAAGAGTAGGTAAAGCCTAAATAGTACCTTCCAAAATTTCTTATTTTCCACCTAGAGATATTGTAACTCTGTAATTTCTTAAATAATTTGATTATGTTTTCTGATGACTTACCACCTAAGAGACAGGAAAAGATAAAAACACCAGCAAAGACAGTCTTTCTCATTGTCAGTTTACAGCCAAAAGGAGGTTGAACCATATGTCTCGTCATTAAACTTTTCCTGGGGAAATAATATCATTACATATCTATATCAGGAGTGTTCAGAAGACAAATCACTGATGAATTCTTATTTATTTCCGTAAGAAACATGAAATTATTTTGTTCATGACAAAAATCAAACCACTAGTCTCCATAGAAATTTCACCATAAAACTTCCAGCTGTAGAACTTTTTAAGTTTAGATGTCTTTTTATAATCAAGTGTCATACCCTCCCTTCACGTTCCCCTGGAGAACAATAGTTTAATAGAAAAAAGAATAAAGTGGTATAGATGATGCATTGGGTTAGAATTGTGTTAGAAATCCTTGTAACTTGTAGTGGATTTGAAAATAATTTCAACCTCTTCATAAACTAACGTTTTCCCTGAAAAGGTTGTTTGTATAAGGAACAGCCTATGATAAATGACCACTAATTAGTATTTAGGCAAAATTTGAGAAACTGAGCTGTCAGACTTCTGTTATTTGTGACTTACCTATCTGGAGGAATTCTTTTTTCGGTGTAAATGTTATGGGAAGGTGTGTAACGTAACATTTCTGATGGAATGAAGTCAGCTATAACAGAAACCAACTGCCGAGTTCCAAGATGGATGAACAGTTAAAAGATGCTTAAGTAGACGAGCAGGAAAGGTTTATACTCGAACTCTCATACATGGACCTTAGTAACTCTTTCATCATTAAAAAACATAGGAAGTTAGTCAACAATTGGACTTCAGATCAATTTGGCTAAAGATTTCTATATGCTTCACTCTGCTGTAGATGAGTTATTTCGATGTATATATCCATAAGGGTACACTATTTATTATAATGTGGCATGTGACGTGTGTGTGTGTGTGTGTGTGTGTGTGTGTGTGTGTCTGGGATTGAACTTTCTATATGCCAATGCTAGATATGCTCTACCACTGAGCTAAGCCTTTTGCAGCTCTGGTCTTCATTTTTCAAGGAATACCATAGTACTGGGCACCAGAGGCTCATGCCCATGGTCTTACCTACTCAGGAAGCTGAGACCTGGAAGGTAGAGGAAGTTAGTCGAAGTACAAAGCTCTGGGAGACATCATTGCTAATTAACTAGCAAATGTCAGTCTGGAGATGTGGTTCAACTTGTGGAGTCAGGGGTGAGTAAGCAAACTAAGCAAGTGGGAGTTCAAGACCCAGTACTGGCAATCCCCCTAAAAAACAAAATGCAAGAAACAACAAAACAAGCGAACAAAAATAAATACCATAGAATCCTTAGTGTAGTAATTCAGTCAAGAAATAATAAAGGTTGGAACCAGAGCACACAAAGAAAAGGGGTGGTAAGGTGGGTTGGAGGAGGTATGGTTTGGTGAAGAAATACCTGCTAGACAAATCCCAAGTCCTGAGTCCAAACTCCAGTACTGCAAAAAAATAAATAGAGAGACATGGTTATGGAAGACTAATTCTTTAGTATCCTAACCCTAGAGGTCTGTGTAAATCAGGGCCAATCTCTACCCACTGCACTCATTTTATGAATTACCTCTTTATTCTCTCTCGTCTGCTTGTTATTTCCCTGACTGAAGACGCACCATCTTGCTTCAAACAGGATATCTGGTCATTATAGGCATATGACAGACAGATGAAATACCTTGGATAGGAAGTTTGGAGGAGAATCCTAGAGTGGCTTGAGGATGCGGGTCTGTGGAAGGAGTAGTGGTGTTGAGTAGTGAGGATGAGCCCTCAGGCTTGGAGGACTCTCCTTAGGGGTTCAGGCTAGTGGTTCCAAAGGGTATGTAAGGCCTGAGAGGATGAACAGACTCTTAATTTGTCTGTGTGGTTCCTGAATTTGTTTGCTCTCTTGGCTCTCCTGTAGCAGTCTGCAGGAAGAATTAGTTGGTCTCTGGGATGCAATATCCTGGAACCCGAGTTAGTAAGGAGTTTGGAGCTAGATTTACTGGAACATGTAGGGAGGGTTTCTGTACAAGAAAATCAGGGTGCAGTGGTCTTCCTCCCTAAATGTTCACTACTGCAGCACTACAAAGACTTGGAATCTGTATGATAGTATTCTGTGTTTCTATCTACTCATAAACAAGGTTATTGCATTGCATTCCTCCAGTTGTAAGCAATCGGGATGCTTTGAATAAGAAATTTTGCATGGGCAGGTAAGTTTGTAAAAGTCATATATGATATTCTTTAATGGAAACCTTAAAATGTTTGGAGAATTGGAAGCTCTAAGTCTTGCTGAGATAAATAAACTGACCTTTTCTGAATTTAGTTGACCAGCTAGTTATTATTGCTTCTTCTGGTGCATCTTTACATAATTAAAAACAAGTTCTGATCCAAATAGCCTCCCACCAACATCTGTAGGTCTTATATTTGAAGAATTAGAGCTTGTAGTTGTGTTTTACTTCACACTGCCAGAGCACACTGATTTCCTAGTTGCCTTTAACAAGTCTTCTCATATTAGGGATTAAAGAAGAGATTTTTATTCCCATTGAAGAAAATGTAGGTCAGATAAACTATAAGATTTTCACAATATGACATCATGAATCAGTGGTAGATGTGGACGAGAAACTACGGCCAAAAACATAAAACAAAATAAAACAAGGCACAGTATCCTAATTCCTCATAATGCTACTTTTTAATATGTATGTAAAATATGTATATATATGAACATGAATATTGTGTAGTTGAACTTTAAATATATAATGTATTTGGTGTCACATATATTACACATGTTGTTGATGAGCACATGTGAAATTTAACATGTGGCCAATGAAGATGTTATAATTTCATATAAATATTATAATTTATGTATTATAGTAAGTAGAATCTAGGTAGGCTTAAGATTCTTAGGCAAATTTCCAATATTGCAGTTTATTTACTTATTCAATTAAGATTTATTGATTTCGGGCTGGGAAGGTGGCTCAGTGGTAGAGCACTTGCCTTGTATGCCTGAGGCCCTGGGTTCGATTCCTCAGCACCACATAAGCAAAAAGAAAAAAGTCAGAAGTGGCGCTGTGACTCAAGTGGTAGAGCGCTAGCCTTGAGCTGAAGAGCTGAGGGACAGCGCCCAGGCCCAGAGTTCAGGCCTCACGACTGGACCCCCCCCCCCAAAAAAAAGATTTATTGATTTCCTATATGTCAGATACCATATAAGTGTATCATAAAACAAGATCAATAATGGCTTGCTTTTCTGAAGCTTGTATTCGGTTGAGGGAAAAAAGTCAGAAAGAAAACACATAACCACAAACAAATCCAATAACATCAAATAATGAGATGCTATAAGAAAATAACACATGGAGATGGGATACAGGTCATGGTGGCTAAGAAGCACCTACCAGAGCCCCATCAGGAGGTATGGGATATGGGTTGAACAGTGTCTCCTGTCCTTTCCAGATAAATATCCTCACATACCTTGGAATATGACCTTAATTCAAAATAGGGTAATTTCATCATTGGCAAAATTAATTGGTATGAGATCATTAAAGTGGGCCCCAATTTAGCTGCTGTTCTTATAAAAAGGAGACATTTGGACATAGGCAGTCCTCAGGAAAAATGTCATGTAAAGAAGAAGGCTGAGACTGGAATCGTGTTCCTATAGCCCAGGCATGTCAATGATCAGGCCTCCAGGTCCAGAAGCTAGGAGAGTGGACTGGCATGTGGCAGCCACCCCTCACACGGAACTTCTGGCATCCAGAACTGTCTAACCAACTGCTGTTGTTAATGGCGCTCGATTCATGATGCTTTTTTTTTGAAAAAAAAAAAAGTTTTTTATTGTGAAAATACTGTACAGAGGGGTTATGGTTACATGAGCAAGGTAATGAGTACATTTCCTATCGAGCATTGTTGCCTCCTCCTTTGTTTTTCCCCTACCATCCCTTCCCTCCCTCCCCACCTCTACAACTACACCCCCTTTCCCCACACCCCCCCAGCCTAAATTGTAAAGTTCGTTTTTCGACATAGCGTTGCAATGGGTCCACCTGTATCCCTTTTTAAACAATTTGTTTTTTTCCCTTCCACTCCCTCAATTATACCAACATCAAATACAGTGAAAACAGGGGTTATACCGTGGGGGGAGGGACATACAAAGCAACAAAGAAATCATCTTATAAATATGTTAGAAACAATAGCAAGAAAGAAAAACAATTTGAGCCTTTATCTTGAGGTTCATTTCACCTAACGTCAACTTGTCTGACCTTTTCTGTTTGTCTCAGACATATACTAGTTATTGCAGATAAGGGAAACCATGGGACCTATGCTTCTTTGGGCCTGGCTTACTTCACTTAATATAATTTTCTCCAAGTCTTTCCATTTCTAACAAATTCCTGATGCTTTTGTTATGGCAGTCCTAGCCAATGAACACAACAGAGAATGGACAGCACATTGAAGGTGGTGGGTGTTCAACACAGGTCCTTGAAACACATAGCCTTCGAGGTGACTTATACCTGGAACTGAGAAGATGAAGGAAAATACGACTAGCAGAAGCTTACAGGACCTATTCTGAGGGGCAAAGGCCAAAGGTGGGGGAAGGAGGGACAGATATAGAGACACAGATGGACAGAGACAGAGAAGAGAGAAAGCTAAAGAGAGACAGAGACAGAGAGATACAGAGAAAGAGACCCAGAGAGAGAAAGACAGAGGAAGTCCTGTTGAGGTACCTCTGGCTAGCTTTGTGGATTAATGTTAGACAGGGCAACTAGATTCAGTTTAGAGATGGTTAGAAAGTATCTTTTTGAGGGGTTGACATGTGAATCCAAGGCTGGTTGACATAGAGGAGGAGGGTCAGATGTCAAGGTCTTGAAGTGAGAAGGAATGTATCTGAGATACAGGAAGAGGGCTGGTAGTGCAGTGAGCAAGGAAAGTGGGCACAGGCATGATAACTCAAGGTGGACAGATTTGGGTCTCGTAGGTCAAAGGAAAGTTTAGAATTGATTCTAAATGTAATGGGAAGCAAACAGAGAACTTCAAGTCAGTGAGATGTAATACAATTTTCA